TATTATCTTTTAGTTTTTCTATATTGATATTTTTAGAGGTATGAACTTTGAACCACCCGAATCAGCATGGAGTTTTTATTAAAATGCTGATTCCTGGGAACAACACCATATCTACAAAGTCAGAATCTTTGTGATGAAGCCCAGTAATCTAAATTTTAAACAGACATCTCAGGTGATCTCAGTGCCTACTGAACTTTGAGAATTCCAATTGCATAGTAATATTTTTAAAGGTACCATTTAGACATGACCCTCCCCACCCCACCCCACCTCCTGCACAGAAACCACAAGGTTTAAAACTATGCATCCCGAGATTTTAAACCTTGGAGATATATTCTCCCTTTCTCTTACCTTCCATATCCAATTATTCATTCTTCCAAATTTCTGTGATGCACATCATATATTTTTTCATTTTCTACTCCTACCTTCCCAGTCCAGATGTATACTACTTTATGTTAGCATTGCTTTAATGGTTTCTGATTCTTATCTTCATATTCCTTCTCTGCTGTAGACCAATTTTCCTAAAACATCTTTTTTCCTTCATTTTCTTGTTAAAGTACTCTAAAATGGGTTCATACTGTCTGCCACATCATGGACATTGACTTTCAAGGCCAATAGTCTTAAACCATTTACTAATTTCTTATGGTTGCTGTAACAAATTACCACAAACTATGTGGCTTAAAACAAAGCTTATGTATTATCTTATACTTCTAGAGGTCAGAAATCTAAAATGGGTCAGCAGGACTATATTCTGTCTGAAGGCTCTAGGAAGAATCCATTTCCTTGCCTTTTCCAGATTCCTGAGACTGCTTATATTCCTTGGCTAGTGACCCCCTTCCATCTTCAAAGCCAACGACTACATGACTCCAACCTCTGCTTCATTGTCATATCTCCCCTCTCTGGCTTTGACTCTCTGGCTTCCCTCTTCTAAGGTTCTTTGTGATGACATTGAGCCCACATGGATACTCCAGGATAATCTTCCCATCTAAAATTTTTAACTTAATCACCTCTGCAAAATCCCTTTTGCCATGTAAAGTAATATATTCACAGGTCCTAGGGATTAGGGCATGGACATCTTTGAAGGACCATTATTTTTTCTACCACACACCCCATTAATGGCCAGTCTTATTTCTCACTGCTTCTCCTAAGAAAACATCAGTAGCAGCCAAGCCAGTCTCCCCTTCACCCTCATACATGCCATGTAAATTGCTACCTCTCTGTCCTTTCCATAGTGGCCCTGGTAGCACAGTTGTTAAGATTTTGGCTGCTAACCAAAAGGTCGGCAGTTGGAATCCACCAGCCGCTCCTTGAAAACCCTATGGGGCAGTTCTACTCTGTCCTGTAGGGTCGCTGTGAGTTGGAATTGACAGCAACAGGTTTCGTCATTTCCATGCTGAATGTCCCTCCCTCTGCAGCCTGATCTGTTCATACCAAACGAAGACATTTCATATTCTCCCTTTTTCCACGTGAGCTTGCTTCATTCCCTAATTTCTGTTCTCTGAACTCCCATTCCACGTAGAATAGAGATTTCTACTTAATTTTCTCTTAGATGTTTCTAATATTTCAAACTTAATTATCTCTAAGTTTTGTCTAACTAGAAGGTTTTTTTTGTTTGTTTGTTTTGTTTTAAAGTAGGGACCACGGCTTATTGTTGTATCTTCTATACTGTCAGGTAGAGTGTCAGGCACATATTAGACATTTAATAAGCATTTTGCAAATGGGATATTTGGAGTGCATCATGTGTGTTTATGAATTACTAGAGAAATGTTTTCTGTTGGGAAGAACAGTTTTCTATTTTGGAGTTTAAGTTCACTGTCAGTTTGACTCAGGTTCTACTTGTCCCGAATCCTTTGTAGCTCCTATTATGTCAGTACTAGATGGAAACACAAATCAAACCAAAAAACAAAAACACCACAACACTGAAATAAAAACAAACCCACGTTTTCTTCGTTCACTCTTAGTATAGTATCCTTTAGAAAAAGAAAAGAAAAGTCATAGGGTGCCATGTTTATGGGTCAGCTTTAAGGTTGTAAATGTTTCTTCCTGTCTCCAATTCACATGTTCAGACCTCACTATAGCCAGATAATTTACCAGTTTAAATGGTGATCCTTAAAACCGGCGTTTCCTCTATAGACACCAAGTCATGTGTATGGAGAGAGAAACTTCCCCTGCATTGTAAACTGCCAAGCACATTTTACATACCTTTACAGCTGTTTGCAGTCAGGGCCAGCCCACCTTCTTTATTCATAAAAGGTTTTAGTAAAATATAGTGCTGGTTTTTTTCCAAATTAACCGTTCTCATTTTTGTTATTACCTACTTTTGGCTTAGGTAAAATATTACATTCTCTTTTATTTAATGAAGTACACGTTTCAGAAGGACCAAAAAACTGCTGTATGGGTCAAACCAAGAGTACAGCACCCGACATACTATCTCTAAAGGAGACCCTGAGGGAATAGGGATGATAGTATGGGATAGAAGAGTAGCTTTTACCCCAAATGCCCCTCCACTTCTTTCTTTAATTTTTTTTGTTTCGTTTTTCATTCTTTTTAATCATGGGCTGAGGAAACAGTCCTTTCTTTGGAAAAAGTTGGTATAACCAATGTATACAGTACCAGTTTCGTACGGAGTAAGTTCTGTGTTAACTCTTCTAACAGCATAAAAAAGGAAAAGGGAGTGGTCACACCAGGAAAAGGAGACTATGCTTGTGGGTATCATGGAATCTGGGAGCTATCTGCGTAATCAGGAAGGCCACTTGGCCGGATGCAGCGTGGCCAGGACAGTTAATCATTGGATGTAGTGGCAGAGGAGTATTTATCTTCTAAGCAGCTAAGCCCTGCTGGAAACATATTGTCTCAGATTTGTCTCTCCTCATCTAAAGCATTCCATTACTCACCTACAAGTGCTGTCATGGAACCCAGCAGCTATGATGTCGGCTCCCTCGGTGCTCTTGACGTAACTAAAAAGGAAAAATGTTTTCACTACTATATCTTAAAGATTAAAAAAAAAAAGGGGGGGAGAGACAGTTAATGAAGTTGATTTTCTATTCTGAAATATAAGAACTGTTGTGATTTAATATTTTTAGAGGAAATTTTTTTACGATTAAACTGATACTTAATAAGCCTGTTACCACAGAATAATTGAGTAGTGTTGGCCTTGTTCTTATTTGAGAAGTACCTCAAATAGTGTAGAGATGAGATATGAATCTGTGCCCATACAGGCAGTCATAAACTCCACCTCTCTCTTTTGCATTATCAGTTTCCCCTTCACTGTTGGATCATTCTCATCAGTAAATGAACATGTTATAATATTTCCCATTAAGAAAAGTAAAACCCTCCCATGACCTCATGCTTGCCTCCATGTTCACTCCATTGCTCTCCTTCTCTTTTAGTATAACCCCTTGAACAAAGAGCCTCTACTTTCTTGCTTCCCATTCTCTCCTTTCTCAGCATGTTTTACTTTCTAGCAGCATTTGATGTGATTTGATTGTTCGCCCCCTCTTGAAACACTTTCCTCACTGAACTTTACTGTTTTACTCCACCTCACTGCCCTGCTTCTTTTTCCTGCCTTTCAGAGTTGGATGGCTCAGACCTTGGCCCTTGTATTTGTTTTCTATTGCTGTGTAACAAATTACCACAAACTATGTGGCTTAAAACAACACAAGTTTATTTTCTCACAGTTTCCATGGATCAGGAGCCTGGGCACAAGTTTACTGGGTTCTCTGCTCAGGTCTCAGCATGCTGAAATCAAGGTGTTGACCAGGACTGTGATCTCAAAGGAGGATTAGGGTCCTCTTCTGAGCTCATTCAGGCAGAATTCAATTCCTTGCAGTTGTAGGACTGAGGTCCTTGTTTTCTTACTGGCTCTAGGTCAGGGGTAGTTCTCAGCACCTAGAGGCCGTTCTCAGGTACTAGCAGTGTGGCCCTCTCACAACATGGCAGCTTACTTCTTCAAAGCCAGCAGTCGGCTATGATGGAATCTTTTGTAACATAACATAATCATGGGAATAACTATCCCACCATGTTCACAGTCTCATCCAGTCAAGGGAAGGGAATTGATACAGGGCATTTAGTGTACACCAGGGGGCAGGAATCTTGGGGGACATCTTAGAATTCTGCCTGCCACAATCCCTTTTTCCATCTGTACCTGCCAGTGTCATCTCATCTAGTTCCCGTGGCTCTCAATACCATGTACATAGTGATTGCATTACAATCAAGAATAATCCCCCCATCTCAAGATCATGAATCACATCTGCAAAGTTCCTTTTGTCATCTAAGGTAACATATTCAACAGGTTTAGGACCTGGTCATCTTTCGAGACCATTAATATGCCAGGCACAGGTGGTTCTAACTCAACTTCTGATAAAATTTTTCTTTATTTATATTATCCCTTGAAACTGCTGCCCAGAAATGCTTATCTGAGAACCATCATTCAGTTTTCATGAACATATTTTAAATTGATTTTTAGGAATGTTGGAAAGATCAACTCCTCTGTTTTTCAGTTTATTCTAACATAGAACTTTGAAGAAGCTCTCTAGATGGTGTGATCTGATTCATATGGCATTTCCAGGGACGATGTTATAAACAATTGAATTTTATTTTATTTTTTTATGCAAAAGTTTATGTAGAAAGACTTTTAAACAGAAAAGTACTTCTCCAAGCAGAATTTCATTGTATTGATTGATTTAAGAAATTATAAGTTGCTTTTTTGTCTTTATAATTCATCTACAGGACTTTTACTTTTTCAAAAAAAAAAAGATAACTGAATTAAATAATTCCAATCTCAAATATCTGATGATCTACAACAATAACAACACAAAACCCTTACCCGGAAACCTGAACATTTAGGACAATATATAAAGGATTTTTGAAGAAAAATTTCAGTATTATTGCATTTCCTCTATCTTAGTTTTGGAGTTAGCACTTTTTTTTATTGCCTTTTTCCGCAAACTGTATCTTTATACTTAAGAGAAATTTTCTGTGTTTTTTTATTTTTATATTTACAGCTTAAGAAATGTATAAAAACTCCAGAAATCCCTTCTAAACATGTTAGAAACTGGGTCCCAAAAGTCTTGGAACAGCGACGACAAGGTTTGGAAACATATTTACAGGTAAGATGTATTTAGATCCTTAGTGTAATATAGCTCAAATAATCTTATGTCTCAATATTTTTTCTCAGAACTTTCAGATGTGATGGAAAATATATCAAGCGTCCGAACATTGTAGCATAAAATGAAGGAATTAAAAAATTATAAATACATTGTTTGTTGGTTCTTTTAGCTTTAATTAACTTAAGTTTATTTGGGTTCTTTTAGCTTTAATTAATTTTAATTTAAAATTGGTTATGTGAATCAGGGAAGTGAAAACTTAGTATAAAGGTAAAAACTGATGGAGAGTCTGTTTTTTTCATTCAGCTCTACAAGTTACTTTTTTTCCCCTAAGCATTTGTTGCTTCCTCATAGCAATCCCAGTTTCTAGGTGTGTGAGTGAGTGAGGGGACCTGAGAGAAATGGAATTTCAGTGATCTTGTCTAGTACATCTATGGAATCAAATTGAGAGTGAATGTGCAAAAATTGACCATGGTGAAATACCAAATTTTTTGAAAATGAGAATATATATTTTTTTAATAAGAATACGTATTAAAAACACGCATCAGGATGCTCTTTTTGCAACTGAGAGGAGCAAGCAGAGCTACCTCTAAGTAGAAGACCCTCTCTTTGCCAAGAGACAAGAAAAGCAAAAGGAAAGGGTAGAGCAGTGTTAGCTTCTCTGAGTTTGGAACCAGAAGGGGATGGAGGTCTCGGGTGACTATTTAAGGTAGCCATAGTCATGGAATTCAAAGAGCACTATGCAAGGCAAGGACTGAGATGGGGCAAGCCTGTGTTCAGCCAGTACACACGTGCTCCTGAAATCCACCTGAGAGGCTGAAGGATGAGAATGACTAAGGTGAGCATGGCCAGGGACTAGGGAAGATCTTGGCTGTCAGAAAAGGGAGCTGGACTTCACAGAAGAATTATAAACTTACCATGATGACCTGTACATCTCAGACACATTACATCAAAGATAGAGGCAGCCATTACTGTGTTCTTCCTTTGATACTTTCACATCCTCTTGAGGCACTAACCCTAGTGTGGATTCTGTTTAGGAGGGGAACTATGGACTATATGAAGCCAATGCACTGTTTAATCTATACAGGTTTTCTGGGGTTTTGTTCCTGAATCCATAGTTATTAGAAGCTAAGGAAAGGCTGTCCCCGTGGACTTATACTTAGTGATAAAGTCAAAGGACTCTCCCAGTAGAAAGATGGCCAAGCATGTGTTCCTGGCCTGGGGTAGTTTTCCTGGTCTTCACAATGCTCAGTAGGAAAGCCAGCATGCTGGCGGGCTCTCAGAGTATCTGTGGGGGGAGGAGGGCTCACTCTACTGTTTTTGCTCTTCTGCTTTGGGCAGGGTGGGAGGATCCTTTACTGGCTCTCCTTGGGGGTGGGAGCTGAAAGGAAATGGGGATCAAAAATCACAGGAATGTGTGTGGCCTTGTTCCTTGAGACTCTGTATGTGAAGACTTTCATAGCTTTGGGCAACACTGCAGAGAAAATTAAAAAAAAAAAAAAAGAAACTTTAGAAATTGTATGCAAAGGATAAAAGCACAAGTTCTCTATAATTAAATGGAATAGGTAAACAATTCATTCTTATTTGTAAGCCAGATTTTCCACAGATATTGTGTATCTTCAAGTTTTAGTTTTGAAGAAAGCTTCACTCTCCCGCCCCGCCCCCCGCCACTATATTTGACACATGGCTTCCATTACTACTCAGTGTAAACATTTTAAGTGTTTGTACATTGGATATAAATAATGTGGATAAAATCATCTCTGGCACAGAGAGGAGTTTACGGTGACACTCAAATTGAGCTTAGAATTTTTTATTCTCAGAAATAGGGCTTGAAAGATGTGGTTGAAGAATTGAGAGGGCTTGCTTCCTGTTGTGCATTTAATGTTCAATTTATTGTCACTTACTTCCCCAAGGAGTTAAAGGGAGGTTTTCTTCTCCTTTTTTTCCCGCTTGATTCTATTTTCAGGCAGTGGAAGCTAGACATAAGTTGAAAAGATGAGTGTGAATGATATATAAATGCCAAATGAAGTAAAAACCCTGGCCTAAGTGCTATTTCTTGATAACTTTTGGTGTTTAAGTCTCTTAAGAAGTACCACAATATTACTGCTCCTTCTGTCAGCCTTTGTGTGCCTTTCTAACTCCAGGTAGAATCCTACTCACCTTCAGGACCAGTCTGAACCCCAGTAAGTGGAGGCCACTACCACTTCTCAGCAGGCAACATCCTGCAGCTGACCCATCTCCACCTTAGCCACATAGGATAGCCCCTCTTCTGGCCCAGGAACCTAGGAGAGTATTCATAGGATCTTAAGCTCACAGAGAACTTAGATGTGGTCTAGTCCAGCTTGCCTTTTGCCCGAGTTATGTTCATGACCATCCCTCTGGCCTCAGTAACCCACCCATAAAACAGGTAGATTAGCTCTTGAGAGGGCCAGAGAAAACAGCTCTTCTTCTTGTCCAAGAGGCAACTAGTACATTTTGGATGATGGGCGAGTACAAATTTCTTAGGATAGCCCACACTGCTATTTTATTTTACAACTGGAGAAACTGAGGTCCAGTGGGGTTACAAGCCTTACCTGACTTTCCAGAATATGTCAGAGGAAGAGCCGGGACCAGAACTGTAGTGTCTAACCCCCAGTTGGCTCTTTTCATTACCTATTGTGGATTTTCAAAGTTGGGGGAAAATTTTCAGTCTTGACGTGTAGCTTTACAAAAGGATATACAAAAGGATAGGTAAAGGAAGAGACTTTATAATAGTTAACTATTACAATTTAATTGACTGTTACCCCCAGCTTCCTAGACATAGATAGTGAGTGGCTTTTTAAAGGTATAACTTCAGTACTTAGAATCCTATGAAAAACTATGAGCGTACTTCTGTTTTCAGTGTGTAAGTCCTCTGGCAGATAGTTTACGGTGACACTCAAATTGAGTGTCATATTTGAGAGACTAACTTAAAAATATGAAAAATCAAATCTCCTATTCTCAAGATTAATTTTGTCCTGAGATTTTAGACTAAGAAAGTACAGCCTATCTTGACATCTTGTACTTTTTAAATTCTTTTTCATTCCTTTTCCTGGTCACCAATTATTTGAAAATGAGAGGCAAAGAAAGGCCACACTTATTTATTTGACTGTTTTTTCAGTTTGGAAATAAAAACATTCATATTAATCTTCACAGTACTATTTTATAAATATTATCTTTTATATTTTAGTGTCTCTATTCAACTTAAATCTTTTTGTTTTTGGTGGAGAAGGGATTAAGAAATTTTTTAGTGCAATTTTTTTTTTTTAGTATAGGAATTTTAAAAATATTTTACATTTTATTTCAACAAACCACTTTATTTTTTAATAGAAATTTCAGATCTTAAGAAAAAAATCAAGCATACCAAATAAATAGTGTGGAATTTCTACAGTATAAATAATATCTTGCAGCACTGTGGGTAGATTTTAATCAATGAATTCACCTTTAGAAGCTTCTGCCAGCCTAGAGCTACTATAGCTAGCGTTATTGAGGATTACTTGCCTGGGGATAAAAAAGTAGTATGAGGGCACCATAAGTGTGTTTTTATTTTTAAAGTGTATTTCTGAACCATTATCACTTTTCTCCTTAAATTCCCAAATTATTTAGTTAGAGGCAAATTCTAAAAGAAACACCAATTAAATGTTTAAATGTCTAAGTGTGTATAGTGTCTTAGAATCAAAGTCTAGAATTAACCAAGGGAGGGTTAAAAGTTACACTGGGCATTTCAGTAACTTGAAGCATGACAGTCTACCTGATGAACCAAAACCCAAAAAATCAAACCCATTGCTGTAAGGTCGATTCTGACTTATGGTAACACCATATGTTATAGAGTAGAAGTGCTGCATAGGGGTTTCTTGGCTGTAATCTTTATGGAAGCAGATCTCCAGGACTTTCTTCTGAGGTGCCACTGGGTTGGTTCAAACCACTAACCTTTAAGTTAGCAGTTAAGTGCAAACTGTTTGTAACACCAAGGGACCTACCTGGTCAACAGTGAATCTTATTTTCATTTTCTAGAGTCATCTGTTTGTTGAATAGGAAATCAAGTAGCTGTTACTCTTTGTCTTCTTATCTCCTTTCCCTTAAATAATGTACCCCAGGAATACTCCTCAATGTTTAATGAATGAGGACGTTGATCCCCTGTAAAAGTAGAGTTAAGCAGAGCAAGATCTTTCTACATGAATGGAAGAAAATTAATTGGTTTTTATCCCAACAAAAGGTCTGTGCCAAATAAAGACTTTTCTAGTAACAAATTTTTAATTTTCTAAATTACATGTACTGGCAATTTATCAACTTTTGGAGGTGCTTTTAACTTGAAGATAAAAGCAAGTTAATATTTGATATTAATATAGTAGTAAATGTTATATACACACACATATATATGCTTAGTGATAAGCCTTCACAAAGCACCTGTGGTGTTCAAGGCATAGGGGGAGATCTGACTTCAGAGAAACCTTGGACCGTGGCCCAGATTAAGTGACTGTATCTACTTTATCAGTCTCTCTTCTCTGTCTTCCATGGTGTGAGCTTCATCTGCCTCCACCTTCCTTCCCCCTTAAAAAAACCCGTTGCTGACGAGTCGATTTCGATTCATAGTGACCCTGTAGGACAGAGTAGAACTGCCCCCATAGGGTTTCTTAGGAGCAGCTGGTGGATTCGAACTGCCAACCTTTTGGATAGCAGCTGAGTTCTTAACCACTGTGCCACCAGGGCTCCCCCTCCCCCTTAGTGATAACTAAAGGGCTGCAGCAGTTCCAGACCTTACTTCCTCATACCACATATGCCAGAGTCCAGGAGAAGACTAGGGTCTGTCCTGGTAGAAATCACTGAAGAAAGAGAAAGCTCTTTCACCAGAAGTCCAGGTGAACATTTTCCCTTGTCTTGTTGGCTCATATTTGCTTATATGCCCCCTTCTGAACTGTCACTGTGGCCAGGGATCCCCCCATTTAAACCAATCAATATCTACTCCCGAAGCTGAGGATGAGGAA